GACCAGGAAGGGGACATCCTCAATGACCCCAGGTGGGACAGGGGACATTGGGGTGTCCCCAGGACAGAGAAGGGACATCCTGGTGTCCCCAAAATCAGGAAGACACTCCAAGTGTCCCCAGATGGGACACCAGGGTGTCCCCAAGACAAGGAGGACCCTCGCAGTGTCCCCATCCCTACTTGTCCCCTGGCAGAGCCTCGCGTGCCCGGGCCAACCTCTGCGTCCCCTCCTTGTCCCCCATCTCTGTCGCCAAGGCCACCACGATGTCCCCAAGGGCCTGGGCGCTGGCGGGGAAGCCTTGGTCCATCTCCAAGTCCTGGGTGACAGCGTCCACCAAGGTCCTCAGCTGGCGGGTCACCTCCTCCAGCGTCCCCAGGGTGTCACTGAAGGTGGCGGTGGCCTCGGCGGTGGCCTTGGTGACAGCGGCGATGGCCCTGGCCCGGTGGCGGTAGTGGTCGGCTTGCTGACGTTGGTCGCTGAGGGCGGTGGCCAGGTGACGCTGGGCTGTCTCCGTGCCGTACAGGGCCGCCTGGCACGTGATGATGACGGTGGCCAGGGCGGTGACAAATTCACTCTCCTGGGTCACCCCCAGCGCCTCCCGCACCACGTCCAGGGACACTGCGGGGACATCGGGGACACACACGCACAGGGACATCAACCACTGTCCTCAGCCCCTCCCAGTGGCTCAATCCCCTCCCAGTAGCTCCAGACCCCTCCCAGTGGCCCCAGTCCCCTCCCAGTGGCTCTAGTCCCCTCCCAATGGCTCCAGTCCCCTCCCAATGGCCCTGTCCCCTCCCAGTGGCCCCTGTCCCATCCCAGTGTGCCCAGTCCCTCCCAGTGGCCCCAATCCCCTCCCAGTGGCCCCAGTCCTCTTCCTGTGTCCCTATCCCCTCCTGATGTCCCCCATCCCAGTGTCCCCATCCCATCCCAGTGTCCCACATCCCAGTTTCCTTGTCCTCTCCCAGTTTCCCCAGTCCCCTCCCACTGTCCCCAGTCCACTCCCAGCGTCCCCAGTCTTGAGTCAGTGTCCTTGTCTTCTCCCAGTGTCCCCAGTTCCATCCCAGTGTCTCCAGTCGTGTCCCAGTGTCCCCAGTCCCCTCCCAGTGGCCCCAGTCTTGTCCCAGTGGCCCCGTCCCTTTCTGGTGTGGCAATGCACTCTCCGTGTCTCCTTCCAGTGTCCCCAGTCCACTTCCAGTAGCCCCAGTCTTGAGCTGGTGTCCCCCATCCCAGTGTCCCCAGTCTTCTCCCAGTGTCCTCCAATCCATACTGGTTGAGGCAAGGGAAGCTCTATACTGGTCTATACTGGTCTATAGGGCATTCTGCTGGTCTTTACTAGCCCCTACTGGTCTACAGTGGCTCCTACTGGTCCCTATTGGTATATACTGGTTTGAACCGGTCTGAATGGGTCTGTAGAGCTCCAGACTGGTCTATAGTGCTCAGAACAGTGGAAAGCTTCTACTGGTCTGTAGGGTTCTCTGCTGGTCCCTACTAGTCTATAACGTCTTCTGCTGGTCCCTACTGGTCTATAGGGTCTTCTGTTGGTATTACTGGTCTGAAATGGTCCATACTGGTCAGGGCAGGGGAAAGTCTCTACTTGTCTGTACAGCTCCTTACTGGTCTGTAAGGTTCCCTACTGGCATTACTGGTGCATGCAGATCTGCAGGACTCCTTACTGGTCTGAACTGGTCCATTCTGATCTCTACTGGGCAGGGCAAGAGAAAGTCTCTATTGGCCTGTAGGGCTTTCCTACTGGTCTGAACTGGTCTGTAGGGTTCTCTGTCACCAGTACTGGTTTTTAAAATTGTCTACCAGCATTACTGGTCCAAGGAGATCTGTAGGGATCCTTACTGGTCTGAACTGGTCCATTCTGATCTCTACTGGGCAGGGCAAGAGAAAGTCTCTGCTGGCCTGTACAGCTTCCTACTGGTCTGTACTGGTCTGTAAGGTCCTCTATTGGCATTACTGGTCCAAGCAGATCTGTAGCATTCCTTACTGGTCTGAACTGGTCCCTGCTGGTCTATACCGGTCCATACTCACGCAGGGGGGTGCAGAGAAGCATCAGCACTATGGCGACGTCTCGGGCCACGCGCAGCACCCGGCGGCGCCGGCGGGTCTGACTCAGTTCCCGCTCCAGTTCGGCAGCGCGGGCGGCGGCCAGTGCTCCCAGTGCACCGTAAACACCTTCGGCATCGACCCCCGGCGGTGGTATCTCCGATGCCGCCGACACCATCGTCTCCTTCAGCACCGCGTTCAGCCTCTCCCGAGCCTCCTC